CACACACACACACACACACACACACACACACACACACACACACACACACAAAAGTAAAGTTTGGCTCACCCTGGCCCTTCGAGCATGGAGGTGTGCAGGGGAAGAGAGGGAGGCGCGGGTCAGTGGTCTGCTGCGGGTCAAAGGTCGTGAGTGCTGCCTGGTCTGTGGCTCATGCTTGTCTGCAGCTCTGGATGTTTCCTGATCCAGACTCAGTGATCGGCCCAACGTCCTGCAACCCCCCCGAGCACCCTGGGAGGACAGAGAAGAAGAAGTCAGATGAACAGAAAAGATGCGTGTTTCTTCCAAGCCAAACACAAAAACCTAAATTGAGACTTAAAGTTCCTTTTTTGACCTTAGAAAACTGTAGCTGACAAGAACAACCTCACCACAAGTTTCATTTTTTCTGGAGCCTTTCATCACCTCACATGATTTTCCTAAGCAGATGAGGTTTCCCATGGGTCAAAATAATGTTCAAATGTTCATTTTTTCTGAGCACTTAAAGGACTTCCCATCCATGTTTACTTTACATTTCAATCTTGACCTTGGAAACAGCACTTGGCAAATACAAATACACATCCTGGTACTTAAGAGCTAATACAGGGAATCCTTAAAGTTCCCAGAATAAATGGAAGTTTAAACATCATCTTCTGGGAAACTCCAAATGGTAGGATGATCTTTGTAATGAAACGTGACAGCTGAGGAGGATGTTTTTCTTAGCTTTATAAATGTTTGACAAAAGTTATAAATAAGGCAAATCAGAGACAAAAAGTTCATTAAATAAGATCTATTTATTTCCCAAACACGCTCTTTTACCTCAACTTTTTCACAAGATAACACCTATCCTGTAAACCCTGTTAGCTTCTATCTGTTTTAACTCTCGGAAGAGAATATGTTTATTGACATTTTCCACTTTATGCTATTCTAAGAAACTCTTGTCTTTGACCTTAATGTTGTCAAGACGACTGACATACAGTTTTAACTGCTTCACAGTCTACTGATATGTGTCTACTTTGCTTATTTTTATGGCGATTATGTCTGAAAAAGTAATGTTTTCTTACCCTGTAGCATCTGTATTATGCCTCTCTATGTTGCTATGTTCTCTCCAGTCTTTTATCCACGTCCCTGTCTTTATGTCACCTGCCTCTTCAGCGGCTCTCTGTATCTCAGTTTTCTGTAGAGTTTGTGGTTGAGCTGATGTTGGTGGGGAGTGTTTGAATATATAAGACACTGCTGATGATGCACCTGCCCTTCTCTTATTCTGAAAAATCCCCTCTCATCCATCCTTATCTATCTTTTACTCACTGACAACACTGGAAAGTCCATCCCTGCTAAACCTCATGACTCAACTACTGTACCCACTTCAGTGGAAAGACCCACTTCCCGCTCTCCCCTCCCGTCCAACATTTTACTGATAACATGCGTGTGTGTGAAAACGAGAGTGTCACTGAAAGTGCGGGAGGAATGGAATACGTTCCTGTAAACAAGGCACAAGAATCCAATCTTCAACAGAGAGCACAGAGAGACACATTTTCCCTTCATCACAACACACAATGCCGGTCTGTGTCGTAAATTCCCTTTCTGACCCTGTGGAGCATTTCCCTCATAGAGATGGCATGAGCCGTTGCTAATTTTGCGGTCACACTTGGAAAACAACATGAAGGACACTGTGTCCCCAAAACAGAGTACAAGTCATCTGAATGTTTAATTCGGGCATGACTTTCTCTATTTACACATTTGGTATTCTTATTTTTTTTTTTTTGACTGTTCTTTCTAATCTAACAAATAGGAACTTTTTGCAGGGTATTTAAGATAAAGTTTTGATATTCAATCACTCAGCCCTGTACCCAACCCTGAATGCCTTTTACCGCCCAAAAATATAACACAAAATGACACATTAATGTTCTGTGCTGAGGTGATTCAATCGTTATTACCGTATAAATATTTGACATTTTTTAAATAAATGCTCTCTGTGCTCCTCTTCATCTTTCAGGCAGGCTGAACTGAATTCTTATTGATTTTTTTTTTTATTGACCAATAAATTGTGTTTTATTATGTGTACATTACCTTAATAGGTTACTTCAAAAAAAAATCTATATATTAACGACTGAGAATAAGTTACTTTAGTGATACATACAAATAATTGACAGCTGTGAGACACATTGCTAAAAAGAAAAAAGTTGTTTTAATTTCCTGCCAGGTAGTTTGATTAAGATTAGCTGGATTAAATGTAGCCCTTTTATAAGAATTCCTAAAGTTCTGTGCTGTTGGTTTAAGAGCCTTTTGAGGTTACCAGATGTACACTTGGTAAGCATAATGAGGCAGCAGGAATGTAACGTGAGAGCAGAGCAGAGGAGCACAGGAGCTGGCTACAACTCCATCCAGAAATGATGTTAAATAAACCTCTAAAATAACAGAAAGCTGGTGTGAGTTCAGCTCTTACTATCTGAGGAACATGGAGGGTTTTACAGATGGATGCCGGACAGAAACCATCTGATTTAGAAAAGGCTTTAGTGGCGGAAAGAACAACAGGATTGGAGCCGATCCAAACTATTGTTCTTAATTAATGTAATCTACCACATGTTAAATAGGGGGAGAGAATGCAAGCATGGCAACCCATTCCAATTAGGAGCCAAACATGTGTGCGGTACACTGTATGATGACTCAATGGTAAATTGAGTGTGTGTGGCCTCCAATGGTGTGGTGTAAAGTAGGGCTATAGTAATGAACTGTGGCTGAAATGGATATGATACTGAGAGTTAAGCTACTATAGCTAAGCTGCTGTTGAATCAAAGTTATATTATTCACGTCAATCATTTTGAATTCTAATAAGGGTCATTTCAAATGTTCATGCAATTAATACACTTAGGGAACTCTGTTTAAAACTCACAGCAGCACTGTGATAGTCTTTCTAACTTGAATGAATGATCGACTTTAGTGAACAAAATGTCATATTAAGGTAGTGATTACTGATGATAGCAATTCATTTGTAATTCACAAAAGATATGGTGATACTCCCATGCGAAAGTCCGTATTGTAATACGAATGAAGTTACATTCCATATAAAAAAACGTAATATCATACAATTGTGAGCCCCATTTAGGCCTGATTAATCACCTTTGAATAATCTTCCTAAAATATGTGTTTTAATGAAATGAAGCTGGTGGGCTATTTACCACATGTCCATCTTTTGAGGGGAAGGTCTCTCTAGTCTCCATTTAGAAACGTTGCAGTCTTTCAGTATAGTATTAACAGCTCCCTAGCTTCACCTTTATGACTAGCTTCTTCATTGAGCTTTTTATCTCTGGTGACATTTGTTCTTATAAAGCTTCAAATCCAAAAGCTTTTTTAAGGTCTTTAAACAAAATCAGACCTGACTTGATTCAAATGAACTAACTTACTGTGGTGCTCTGCTGCTCCTCGTCATTGGCCTCGTCTGAGTGGGAGTTTTGGACTTCCTGGGTCCCCTCATCGAGGTGATCCAAATTTTCCCAAAGCAGATTCATGGATGCGGCAGCCTGAACACACAGGGCAGAGGACACGCACACGCACACGCACACACACACACACACACACACACACACACACACAACACACACACACACACACACACACACACACACACACACACACGTAAATATGGCTCAAGGACAAACTCTGGTGTTAACCTTGCACTGATGAATGCTGCTCTCGGAGAAATCTGTTGAACATTAACCAACACACACTCCTCTTCCTCATCCACCTACTCCACCCTTCATTGCCTTAAGCCTCCACGCACATGAGCAGCTTTTCAGCCCCACTAGGGGTACACAGTGTGCCCTGGACTGTGGAGGAAGTGACACCTTCTCAATGACTTGATTATAGAGCAAGGAGGAGAGGAGCCTTGGATGAAAGAGAAATATTAAAACCAGGAGACCTTAATAATCTGGCTTAAAACTATATTTTAAAAACAGCGTTGGGCCAGTTATGTTAATGTGTTGTAATACATGTCCACTACATACAGCTCAGTTATGCACATACCTAAACCCTCGCTCTCCCTCCCCACCCATTGGTCATGGACTCTGACTGAGACACTTGTTTCGCTGGCCTTCCAGGAAATGAACAAACTGCTTTGTTTCTGGGCTCTGCTGCCAATCCCTGAGTCCCAGAGGCTGATAGCAGCACATAGGGCCCCTTTGAGGAGCATGAAGTCCAAAAACAGCCCACTCACTCACACACATACATACATGCATGCATGCACACAAGCAAGCCCTCACCTACCCAACCACCCACTCACACACACAAACACACCCTTCTGTCCACTCCCATTCCCAAACCCCATCATGTTGACCAGTTTAAAAAAGTTCTGCAGTAACAGCTTTGGCAGTAAAGCCATTTCCTGTGTGTTACAGCCCCCACATCTCCAGATTCCTACACACAGGGACACAGAAGGCTGTCTATGTGCAGCAGGGTGCTATTTTTACCCTCACTGTGGGGGACAGAGCCGGGGCGAGGGGAGAAAACAGAAAGTGGAGGCTTTTCGTTGGCATGACTGACTGCAAACATGGACTTGGGTGGAGAGCTACATTTGCTAATGTGAGCACAGATGCACACCATGGCGCAGACATCCATTTGCACACACTCACTCTTCACAGAGTGCTCCCTGAGTTCATGAAATGTTAATAAGCTTCTGACCAAAGTGTTTACAGAGGATAGAGCTCTTAATGCATCACTATATATCTGCTACAAGACCATTTCATTATCCACTGAGCTGTCTTTGAAACACTAAAAGAGCCATTATCATGACAGGCTAAGAATATGAATAAGTAAGTGAAGGCTATCCGTGCTCTGGCAGTAGGTGCGCTTGGCAATACTGAAATAAGAAGCCATTTGCACATGACTAAATGACAATATAATATTGAAAGTGTAACGTCATAATTAGCTACTCTACTGACAAATGATCTTATGGCAGAAGAGAGGATACATCAGAAATCCTTTTTTGGTAGGGCAGGGGAGGAGTTTACAGTGTTACAGCAGCAACACAGTAATACACATACAAACAAATAAGTACAACATGCATGGTAAATAAATGTATTTAAAATCGCAGGCGGAAATCTAAAAGTATTGAAGGAGCCGGTTACCTTAACAAATCAGGATAAATTGTAAAAATAAAATAAGTGTATATTGTGCATAACCTTAATAATGCTAAATGGATTTGTTAAAGTCTTTATTTCTGAACTTATGTGAGCAGTTGTCTCACTTGCTAACTTAGTCTGGTGATCTTCAAAATACCACTGGACATGACAGTTGAGACTGACTGGACCATATGTCCCTAACTCTATAGTTTTTATCTTTAACAATACATCTTTCACATTTAAAATTCACGCGCCTGTATCTATAAAAAAATATCATGGCTTGTACACTAAGGGGAAAAATAAAACTAAATGTTACCGCTAATTTGGGTGAGACAGTAATGTGCCATGTGCCTATAGACCATGCTGAGGGTCAAATAACAAACAGCGCCGACATATATTCTTGTCAGATCAACATCAATCTTATTGCAGTTTTAATACTTGTGTTTCTCTCTAAATTGTTACCCACACTGCTGAGTTTGACCAAACTGCTAGGAACCAGTAATTCAAGAATGTGGAACCACAAGGGGCCTCTTTGACTTAACAGGTATTCAAATGAGCAAGGCCTAAGCCTGTCAATAAGTGACTTTAGAAGCTACTTGGTCAAACTCTGTGAACGACATCACAAAAGGAGAGTGGAGAGAACAAATCCTTTCATTTCAGTCCAACAGGGAGAACAGTGTGCAGCGTGCCAGAGGGCTGAGGGCCGCTCTGACAGGTGTGAGAACGCGGTCAGGGGCGCGCTCACACTATTACTACTATGGATACCCGCTGGCACAGTGCATGCTGGGAGCTGGAGATGCCAGATCGGGCCAGGAGAAACATTTGAGGAATTTATGATTGAAGGTGTACCTGCCAACATTTTTATTCAGATCCCCGTTTTATTTAACACGTTTTCTCTTTCACTTCAAAGACTCGTTCAAACGATTATGAACTCTTAATCCCACAATATTTTGGAAGCATAATTGAGCATAGCACGGTAATTAAAAAAAAGTAAAAAGAGCTGCAATGCTTTTCTGCTAGATATAAAGTGCTGCAGCAGGCTATGTTTTCTTAAGATTTCTTATTTTACTCACCTTGACTGAAACAGGACGAGGACATGCAACAAAGAAGCCCAGTCTGAAGTATTTTTCATATCAGATACTTCATAATTATACATCTATAGCCACTAATTCATCAGGATGTATTAACTACCCTACATTATACTGTAAAGTATATGAATCCATTGAATTGTTCAGAGTTGATATTAAGAAATGCTAATAAAGATTACATTACATTAACACAATGTAAACAAGCTCCTGGTAAATCATTTGAAACACCTTGCCGCCCTCTAGTGGTGGAAGTAGGAAACACAGTTACAAAATGTGCCTTCTTTACTGTGGCTGTTTGTTATGTAACAATGGGAAAAGCACAGGGGAACATTATACAATTAACGAATGCTTAATTCCATTTAGCTGTTTTAGTTTTAGGGTCCTGGTACAGCTCATGCCTGCCCATGAATTACTTAAAACAACAGAGCCATTGTATATGCACAATAAGCAAAACATGCTTTTCCCACTTTGAGAAGTCAACATGTCTGCAGTGCAGTGTAACAAAGCAATGCTCTGGCACTTCTTTCTCTTTGTTATCACTCTCCTCCTCTCTTGTTTTTCTTACCTCTTCCTCATTGTTCTGAGGCGCTACCTCTTCCTCCTGGCTACCTGCGATCTCAGGTTCTTCCTCGTCGGGGGGCTCTTGCAAGCCGGATGCAGCGTTATCAGGCTGGGCATCCGGTCTCTTTCTCAAGCACTTCCTGCTCAAGTTTCTACGCTGACGAATAACCAGGAATTCCTTATATTGTGACATCTCGGGAATAACATCCTCCTCATCATCCTCTCCCTCTTCAGCAGTGGATGAAGAGGACTCTCCATCATCAGAGATATCCTTGTTGTCCCTGTTACCATCATGATCACTGAACACAATGGCACTTGGTTTGTGCTTCACTACTCTTATCAGTTCAGATGAACAGCACTCTGATGCGTTCACAGATTCTGGCAGATGGTCTCCACTTTGATCCACGCCAGGAGCCATGTCTGAACTCTGTCTGCATCCACAGAGTCTTTCCTGAGCCAAGTCCAGCTGAGTCGTATCTCCATGGAGCAGAGGAACAGGTTCAGACATGGTTCTCAGTTGGTTGTTGGAGCTTTGATTTAAGAACATTACCTTGCAGGTCACTCAAAGAGACACCCACAGCCTGGGGGTGACTTTGCCTGTAAGGCTTCTGCTCAAGCGGCACTGCAGAGGAGGCTCCATGCATCACTAGGGAACCAGTTCTCCCCTGTTCAGTCTTTGTGGAGAGTTTTCCTCATTCAGACAGAACCAGATGAGCTGTCAGGTCACGTACAGCTCCGGAAACAAAGCGTGAGTGGAAGACACTTTGGCCCACATTCCTGAGCTGGAGAGAAAAGGGAGAGATAGAAAAGAGACATGAGATGTAACTTTGGGCAAATCGAGTCATATTGTTCACACATGTGCACACTAAAGAAAATGCGCATCTATAATCCAGTGTCATTTGTTTCAGTAGATGGATGTGTGTGTAATGGTAATGACAATTAATTGTGATGGTGTGTGCCAAATCTAAATAAAACTGAGATATGATTATTATTTTGTATTTAATGTTTAGGTTTTTGTAAACTCGGAAATTAAATGGTTGTCTATTACAAAATGATCTGTGAACAGTGTTGGTTTATTTTCTTTATGTTGATGTCTATTGTTTTTGGAAAAAATGTCTATAAGGTCATTTCCCTCTCACTGAGACGTGGCCAGGTACTGCATTAAATTACTTTAGCAGTAATTACTTCCCAACTATTTTAATGCTGTGAAGACTGTGCTATCAGTACTAGGTATTAGTTAAAAGGGATTATTTGGGCTGATATAATGTGTAATGCAACAGTCCAATTACACATCAACAGCAAGTCTGTCTTGATAAAACCCACAGCGCACCGCTCGGTAGCTCTCAGACTTTTCTTGGCAAACACATTTTTGCTCAAACACATTGTTTTTTCCTGCTGGATATTCTTGGCTGAGTTCAACACCCTTTCCTTGCCATTGGCATTTACTTCTTTGTCTTTTAAAACACACAGTGGTTGGTCATATAAGGTTAAAATATACCTGTATAACAAAGACACCATGTATGCAAAATAAACAGAAAAGTGCCCTACTTCAGACTTATAACTGTACAATAACGTTATACCATCTTAATGTCAATTAATAATCTCAATCTCAATGATTATGTAATCATGTGTAACTGAGACGGATTTATTTAAAAAAATATTTTAGCAAATAACATGTTGCTTTAAAAACAAACACAGAATGACCTTGTTTAACATACCAGAAGTATTGTGCAGAAGTTGTCATCCTACATTTGAATCCAACACATCAGTCTGAAGAACCTGGACGTAGCACAAGCATCCAGCTGAGGCAACGTTACGTATTGCTTCTAAACTGCATGACGCCGATAATGCAGAAAGAGTGAGGTTACCTCTGAACAGATATGAAATGCTGTGTGAGGGAAGGAGAGAAAAAGGAAGGCTTGAGGAATGCTTTCCCCTCCTACATTACCTCAGCAAGAAGACAGTGAGTTCCTCAGGCAGGTGTGTGTGTGTGCTACTTGTGTGCGCACATGTGTGGCTGTTATTTTGCACGTAAAAGCAAGGATATGCAGGACAGAAAACAAAGATGAGATTTTAAAAAAAAGATAAATTATCCACAAAAAGCAATGAAATCTGAAGGTATGTTGGGGAAATGATCAAACTGATTAGGAAGCTGCACATAAATTAAACAAATGAGATGTGTTGCCCCTCCCAATTCCTTCTTTCTACTTAATGCTTTTAAACATGGCTAGAGGCAAAGGGTTTTTCAACTTGGAAGCACATTCCTCAACATCATATGAGGTAATGCTTTAGTTTAGCATGATCTTATCATCCTTTAAATCTCTCAGTTCATACTTTTTTCTAAGTACAGCAACGCTCTAAGTGTTTATTAACCAAATAAAAATGATTTATGGTCTTCAAAAAGCTGCCGATGGACTGTGGAATTCCTCAAGTTTGCCTGCACACATTGGATTTTATGTTTTGCAGGTCAAGAGTAAAGACCTGTTATTTGTATGTTAACTTTGAAGATGACTGCGTGTTGAGGCCTGTTTGACCCTCACGGTCTTTGGGAGAGGAGATATGGTCAACATGCAGGGTGTCCTAAGAGTAAAGCTATTTTAATCTCATTTGCTTACTATCAATAACATATATGTTTAGAGGTATACAGATATTGGCTGTAAAAAAAAAACTACTTTAAGCATTGTTACATCTCAGTGAAATATAAGGTCTTTCCAAAATAAATGAAATGAGACAATTGACAGTCAGTGGTTTCTCATTGTCAAATAAAATAGGTATGGTGAATTGTTCAGTCAAAAAGACCACAGACCAAGTTCCATTGAAAGTTTAAGTGAGTTTTCGGGTGAATTACCTTTAACATTATCTTACTTCACCAGTATTTTTAAATGCAAGGCCATGCAGCATATGTTGAACTATCTGATGAATGAACTCTATCCTGCATGAATGAACTTGATAAACTTCCACCAGCCGCTCCAGATGTTTCACTGTCCTACATCACTGTGAGGATGGATGCCAATTAATTTTACTCAAACATGTATTTCAGTACAAGCTACGCTAACCTGCTGAGGCACGCTGCTCCATATAATAACATTCCTGTCATAGAGACGTATATTTACCTGGGTCATGCTGTAGAAAGGCGAGGGGGGGGAAACTGAGAAAAGGAAGGCATTGTGAGATTTGACATGTAGGCACAGTATACATACACTAAAACAATTACAGAATAGAAAGAGAAGGATGAATATAAAATCTTAGCTCTGCTATGATTTATTATGTTGTTAAGTAAACCACTCCCACTGAGCGAAGCATATAGTATTTTTCAAGACTAGCTAATACACCCACACTGAGTTATGTAATCTGTGTTATCTTATCCCTGTGTACAGTAGATACAGTGTAAAAAAAAGACAACAAAACCGGATTTTGACAACAAATATTACCATGCATTAAGTGAAGATCACTGCATGACAGAAAACATAGAATTAAAATGTTGTACTTTACTGCTGAATGGATTATATGTTAAATTGACTTCTTTTGTCTTCATTTTGCATGGCCCACAAATGTAACTATTGAAAAATCGAATAGGTTAAGTTGATTACAGTCATAGAATAAGAGTTATTTATTAGGACCGCCTAAGCAATGACCAACACATTTAGAGAGCTACTCAGAAAACCTGTTTAACCTTCTAGTTAAAGAAGGGCAGCATGGTGACGTGAGCTTTTGTTTTATGTTGAATGGGATTGACTATCTCACATTCCTTGATGGTATCCTTGTAGCCTTACTGGCTGCACTGTAAATGCCTGCAAATCACCTGCAACAAAGAAAAGATGCTATCCTTTTAATTCTATAGGATATATAGCTAGATTAATCTGGTAGTGTTGCCTAAGGGGAACATTAGCTGTGTACCTTCTAACCCCTTGTCCTCCCTTGGGCTTCCTCACAACAAGTCTGGGCTTTCCTGTGCTATACACACACACATCTTAGCTTAGATCTGAACATAACAGCAGAGTCATGCAAGAGTGGAACTAGAGGGGGTCATATACTGTTGGAGAGTCATTCACTAAAGTAACTAAACTAAATACAATCTAGAAACACATTTTCCGTTACTATTTCCATTCTAATCTAATTTATACTGCTCCACTAATACATTTATTTAGCTCTTATCGTTGCTAGTTTACTTTTTGAATAAGAAAAGCATGTGATATGCTTATATATGATGTCATGATATATTTCCTATAAATCCAATAAAGTATTTCAAATAGGCTCCACATTCATTCTCTTACACGAAGGCATATTTTTTTATTGAAAAAAACACAAAACAAGATATTATATACGGTAGTTAAATTACAGTGTGAGAGGACTGGAGCCATTCTGCACAATACTTTTAGTAAACTACATTGATACTGCATAAGTGCAGAATGCTGATAATAAAAACTTCTGTACTTTAACTTAAATATCATTTTGATTTTTACTTGGAAGGGAGTATCTTTAGGCCATGGGATTGTAATTTATACTAGAGATAAAGGAGTACTTTTCCACTCCTGCAAAAAGTGACTGTAACTTTTGAGACATCAGGGACATTTTGCTCTCCAACATGACAAGTAGCCCCTACTTCACAATTATGCTACTAGCTGTATACGACTAATACTGTGTGACAGCCTTCATAATTCTGTCAGAATGCAGTCATTGATACCCTGTCGTTATCAGATGAAGTACCGCCAAATCTGGTGTGCAGTTTAGCAGCGTACTTAAAGTTTTGTGGGTTTCATGTGGAATTAGATTAATCTACCCCTCGCCTGTAGCTATTTTGACTCCTTCCACTCTCCGTAGCACACCGGAAGTATCAGCAGCGCGGGTTGCGTACAGGTTGCGTATGAACAATATTTCGCGGGAGAGCCAGGCTTTCTGCTGCTGTCAACACGGGCAATAACAGTAACTAAATTCATAACGCAATGAGTTTGTGGGTGGACAAATATCGACCAACTTCCCTCGGGAAACTCGACTATCATAAAGCCCAAGCAACGCAGCTGAAAAACCTGGTAAGATAAACAAATGGCATGCTGGGTTTAATGTGATTTTAGGCTATGTTAGCATTAGCTTTACAAGCAATAGCAGCATGAAGGCTAGTATTATGTCGTTTAATTTGCTATACCAAGATATATGGCCCATGAACCTGGTCATTAACATATTTTGTGAGTGCAACTTGAGGTAAACTTGTCTGTGCTAGCAATGTCCACCATATTAAACTACTTTTAGTGAGATAAAGTACATCAAATGTTTAGTCATTTGAGTACCATTATGGCTAGATTGGTCTAACAATGCCCTTCCTTTTCTTAAATGTTTTCTTTTATGTTATGTTGTTGTTAGAAAAAGCTAATTATGAAATAAGTATCTTAACAACTGAACGACCCAAACTGATTACAAGTCAGCTATCGTTACTAAGCAACACTGACCAGCATTCATACACGTAACGAATGAAAATGAGACATTGGATAGCCCAGTGAAAGCAAGAGGTATTCTTATAAAGCAAGAGATATTCTTATAAAGCAAAAGGTATTTTTTAAATGTGTTGTTTTTAGGTTCAATGTGGCGACTTCCCTCACTTACTGGTGTACGGACCCTCAGGCGCGGGGAAGAAGACCCGCATCATGTGCCTGCTGAGGGAGCTGTATGGAGCCGGGGTGGAGAAGCTGCGCATCGAGCACCAGACAATCGTGGTGAGAGGGGAATCCCTGCCTTACTGCCCTACAATACAACACTAACAAACAGTTCCTCCAGACATCTCACCCTCATGGGATTAAATCAAGTTTTCTGAGTGCTTACCTGCTTTCTGTGTCTCTTCTCCAGGCTCCCTCAAAGAAGAAAATTGAGATTAACACAATAGCCAGCAACTACCACTTGGAAGTCAACCCCAGGTGACTAAATGATAAACAAGTATCTATGAATATCTACTCCAATACTGTACTTCATAACAGTTTAGATGCATCTACACGTGACTATTCCACTTCATTTCAGAGAAAATGGTTGCAATTGTGTTCACTTTAATTGGAAAGCTGTAGTTGGTGGTTAGTCTGCAGATAAAGGTTCTATCAATAAATATGTTGTGGCTGAGGACGATATAACAGAAAAGTACAGCCTATTTAGTTTGATTCAATTGCCCAACTTAATGTGATTTAGCAGGTATTTGTAGGTATTCATATTTTCAAAAGGAAGATAATTGATCTTGGGAAATACAAAAAATGCTCCTTTTCCTCTTCTTTTGCACTGTGGATGTTGGTTTGGAGCTGACGAAATAAATGTAATCATTTCAGTGTTACTTTAAAGTATTTCTTTCTGTGTTAACAGTGATGCTGGAAACCAGGACCGTGTGGTGATTCAAGAGCTGATCAAAACCATGGCTCAGTCTCAGCAGATCCAGTCGAGCACCCAGAGAGAGTTCAAAGGTAGGAAAGACACAAACTTTTGCTCCGCTCTAATCTGTGAATGCAGGTCCATGTTTAAGAACAATATTTGTTTTCTTAAATCAATCCTAAACATGTGGATCTGTGAACATTATCCGACTGTCCCTGTAATCTGCACACCTTTGTTCTCAGTTGTGTTGCTAACAGAGGTGGACAGACTCACGAAGGATGCCCAGCATGCTTTGCGCCGGACAATGGAAAAGTACATGTCTACCTGCCGGCTCATCCTCTGCTCTACCTCCACCTCCAAAGTCATTGAGCCGATTCGGAGCCGTTGTCTCGCTATCAGAGTCCCTCTGCCGAGCACAGAAGAGGTAAGATGGAGATAATGTGTTTCAGATTGTAAGAAGTAATCATCAAAAAGTAGCATATTAGAAAACCTAAAAGTAGCTGCAGAATCATGTGGAAATTCATTCAATGTTCTCCTTTCTGCTTGGCAGGTCTGTAATGTGTTGACATCAATCTGTAAAAAAGAGGGTCTGCTCCTCCCACCTGAGCTAGCCAAGAATATCTCTGATAAGTCTGGACGCAACCTCCGCAAAGCGCTTTTGATGTGTGAGGCCTGCAGAGTGCAGCAGTAAGTAGTAATGTAACTATTATTACTCCCTGTAGATTCAGCTTATTTAACCCGTGCCGATCTTTCCCAGGTACCCCTTCTCCGCGGACCAGGACGTCCCAGAGACGGATTGGCAGGTGTATCTCAGGGAAACCGCTAATGCCATCGTGAGCCAGCAAAGCCCGCAGAGGTAGGATGCAAAGAGAAAGAGGCTGTTTAGTTGGTTCTTAAGCTACTAAGTAAAGGTAATCAGTTTTGTGTTGATATTTAAATATTGAATCATCATCTGTTCCAGGTTGTTGGAGGTTCGAGCGAGGCTGTACGAGCTGCTGACTCACTGCATCCCCCCTGATATCATTATGAAGGTACCGTTCAATACACCGCATAGAAAAGGTTTGATGTGATGTTTAAGGTTAGAATTATTAATGTTCCTTTTCCAATCCTCTTCCAGGGTCTGGTTACCGAGTTGTTGAGTAACTGTGACGGCCAGCTGAAGACAGAGGTGGCCCAAATGGCAGCGTTCTACGAACACAGACTGCAGCTGGGCAACAAAGCCATCTACCACCTCGAGGCCTTCGTTGCCAAGTTCATGGCCATCTACAAGAAATTCATGGAAGACGGTCTGGATGGCATGATGTTCTGATTCTGAATGGACTTAAAATACTGATGCTTTTCCTGGAAGGATTTCAACAACACTTGTTGATTACTTCAAATGTGTGGATTTGATAGTGGTTTAAATGTGTACTCTGTAAGGCATGGTGGTGATGTTTCCAGGAAACATCACCACCATGCCTTACAGAGTACACATTTAAACCACTATCAAATCCACACATTTGAAGTAATCAACAAGTGTTGTTGAAATCCTTCCAGGANGTGATTGTTTTTGTATTATTTGACTTTAACTTTAACTATATATTTATTTGTTGTTCCTTTCTTTTCTTTTCACTATATCTGTAAAGTGTCTTTGAGCACCTGACCTCATAGCGCTAACAAAATTAAATCTATTATTCATTATATTTGAAAGTAAAAAAACCCCAACAATTGAAAAGGTTTTGCAATATAATCTATGAAATGTATTTCTTATTCAAAACCTAATTTCATG